CCAGCCTGAGCCTGTCCTGGCCCAGCCTGAGCCTGTCCTGGCCCAGCCTGAGGCCGTTCCCTCTCCTCCTGTCCCTGTTCCTGGCAGCACAGCCCCCGGCTGTCCCCAGGAAGCCCCTCCAGAGCCCCCCTGCCCTGGGCAGGGAATGTTCCAGGCTGGAGTGACCATTCCCTCAGCGCAGGGAGCCAGGGGCAGGAGTGGCTGTGCAGGGATCCCAGCCCAGGAGCGGCTCTGGGGCTGCTGCTCTCCCCTGGGGAAGCTCCTCGGGGCCGTCCCTGAGGCTCTTCCTCCTCCTCCTCCCTCCCAGCGCTCCCTTCGACCGCATCGCCGAGATCAACTTCAACATCGACGCCGACGACGACAGCGTGAGTGGGGACGTGGGATTGTGCTGGGATAAATGTGCCTCTGGAAAAGTCCTGCTTGTGTTCTGAGAGCAAAGCAAAGGCTGGGGGGCTTTGGCCAATGCAGGGGGGCTGGAGAGAACCCTCAGGGGCTCCTGCAGGAAATGTTCCCTCTGAGGCAGCACCCCTGGCACAGAGGGAATCTTCCTCCCTCCCTGCAGTGCCAGTCTGTTCTTAGAATCGGGGAATCCCGAGATGGTTTGGGATAGAAGGGACCCCCAGTGCCCCCCTGCCATGGCAGGGACACCTCCCACTGGCCCAGGCTGCTCCCAGCCCCAGGCTCCAGCCTGGCCTTGGCCACTGCCAGGGATGCAGGGGCAGCCCCAGCTGCTCTGGCAATTCCAGCCCAGCCAGCAATTCCCAATTGCCAATTGCCAACATCCAGCCCTGTCCTCTGGCACTGGGAGCCATTCCCTGGCTCCTGGCCCTGCAGCCCTGGCCCAGTCCCTCTGCAGCTCTCCTGGAGCCCCTTCAGGCCCTGCAGGGGCTCTGAGCTCTCCCTGGAGCCTTCTCCTCTCCAGGGGAACATTCCCAGCTCTCCTGGAGCCCCTTCAGGCCCTGCAGGGGCTCTGAGCTCTCCCTGGACCCTTCTCCTCCCCAGGAACATTCCCAGCTCTTGCAGCTTTAGATCATCTTTCCAGACTCAGATTAGGGAAGCAGAGGCAGAGATGGATTTCTCCTGGATCTCAACATTTCCAGGCTGTTCCTGGCCTTTCCCGCTTTATTCCCCAAAGCGAGGCAGCAGCAGGGCTGTGGTGATCCCGGGTGATCCCAGCTCCTGAGCAGAGCTGGGTTTGCTCAGCCCTGAGCCTGGGATTAATAAATCAGTGTGTGCAGAGAAGGTGTGCAGTGATTGCTGTGGTCCTGCAGCCCAACGCCTCTCTGTTCGAGGCCTGCTGCAACGAGCGCATCCAGCAGTTCGACGACAACGAGGAGGAGGAGGACATCTGGGAGGAGAAGGAGATCTCCTACGCAACCCAGGTCAAGTCCAGGACACGGTAAGGTGCAAGCAGAACCCTGATTTTCCCCCTGGAGCTGGGAATCTGCACATTGCAGCCCGGGCCAGGAGGAATTGCTTGGGTTTTGTGTCATTTTGGGGCTGTGGGGTTTTATCTCCCTGCCACTTGTGCTGGGGGTTCTCCTGAGCTGGAGACAGATCCAGCTAAAGCGAATTCATTAACAATGGGAACACCTAATTAATGAATCTTCCATCAGACACGTTGAAAACTCCCACCCTTAGTGTTAAACACTTGGAATTTGCTCCTTCCCTCATCCTTGGAGAGGAGGAGGAGGAGGAGGAGGAGGAGGTGAGCCTGAGGGGAGTGGGCAGAACATTCTCCGAATGTTCAAATCAGAAAAGTGAGAACAAGAGGCCTCCCAGGGGCATCTCAGGCTTTGAAATCATTTCCCATCCCTTTGATAGAGCCACTCATTAAATAAAGTTATTTCCATCATTCCCAATCTGAGATGTGATCAAAGGAGACAGGGAAAACATCCAAGACCTGGCCGTGTCCCTGGCGAGCATCAGCAGCCTGGGCTCCCCTGGCTGGGCACTGCTTTGTGTTTGTGCTGTCCCCAGCCCTGGCTCTGCCCTGCACCTCCGGGGAGCTGTGACACCAAAGCCCCGGGCAAGCTGGGGGAACCTCTGAGCACCCACGATTGCCCCGAGCAACTGGGGGAAATATTTTGTGAGAAACAAGCCTGGGAAAGGCTCTGGGCTGTTTCCCCCGGGACAGGGAGGAGGAGCTGAGCCATGCGGGCGTGGCTCATTCCCCCTTCCCCTTCAGGTTTGGAGCGTCGCAGACGTCGGAGAGCTCCAGGAGTGACCTGGAGAACGGGGACCACGACGGCAGCGTGGACTCGGAGGAGGAGGAGGAGCAGCGGCCGCCCCCCTCCCCGCACAAGGGCAGCGCCCCGGAGAGGAAGGAGTCGGGCTCCTCCCAAGGTACCGGCTTTGGGAGCACATCCCTGGAAAAACAGCACATCCCTGGAAAAACAGCACATCCCTGGAGCTCAGGGGATCCATGGGGCTCAGCACATCCCTGGAGCTCAGGGGATCCCTGGAGCTCAGCACATCCCTGGAGCTCAGCACATCCCTGGAGCTCAGCACATCCCTGGAGCTCAGGGGATCCCTGGAGCTCAGGGGATCCCTGGGGCTCAGCACATCCCTGGGGCTCAGCACATCCCTGGAGCTCAGCACATCCCTGGAACTCAGGGGATCCCTGGAGCTCAGCAAATCCCTGGAGCTTAGGGGATCCCTGGAGCTCAGCACATCCCTGGAGCTCAGCACATCCCTGGAGCTCAGCACATCCCTGGAGCTCAGGGGATCCCTGGAGCTCAGCACATCCCTGGAGCTCAGGAGATCCCTGGAACCACAGCACATCCCTGGAGCTCAGCACATCCCTGGAGCTCAGCACATCCCTGGAGCTCAGCACATCCCTGGAGCCCAGCACATCCCTGGAGCTCAGCACATCCCTGGAGCTCAGGGGATCCCTGGGGCTCAGCACATCCCTGGAGCTCAGCACATCCCTGGAGCTCAGGGGATCCCTGGAGCTCAGCAGCTCCTCCAGCTCCC